AGAAATGGACACCGTGTGCTGCGTACCAAAAGGATCATCCAGACTGTTACCAGCAAAGTTTAAAAACCAGGGTCTGTCATGGTATGTGTTTGTGTCACGCCCATGCATGTTTTAACAAGACAGTGCAGAACCACATTCTGCACACATTACAAAGTCCTGACTGCGGAGGACGAGGATACAGGTACTTGACTGGTCTGCCTGCAGTCCCAACCTGTCTCCAATAGAGAATCTGTGGTGCATTTTGAAGCACAAAATGCAACAATGTGGACACTGTACTCTTGCCCACATTATAAATCGCGATGTTCATGTGTAATTAGACACTGAACATTTTAAGTTTACTTGCCTCATTCATGTGTCAAATTCACTTAATTCGCAAATGAAATTTACTTCACTATAGACCTTTTTCATGGCTGCTGCATGGAGGGCGCCATAGCGACCAGCGTTTTCCGGTAGAATGCGAAAAACTTCCGTTTACAGTGTTTACAACTGGTAATTTGAGCTCCGAAAATGGGTTTCAATAACGTTTTTAATGGATAACAGAGTGTTTTGTGACACACAACTTAGAAATGTGTGTGTTAAAGCCGTTATAATCTGTCACATGTGGTTCAAGCGCGTCAGAAATACGAGAAAAACGTTTTCCTACTGTAGTTCACGTGTTTGCCGTCAGAAATAGTGTGTGTGTGCGTTCCCGGCCTGTCAGCTGTTAGCTCAGCGCAGAGAGAGAGAGAGAGAGAGAGAGAAAACCAGAGTACTGGCATGAAACTTAACAGGTATGAAAGTCGTGCAATTTACAAAAATGAGCATTAAAAGTCTGTTATTGATCCTCTGCTGCTGATTAGCTGTTCATTCTAATCGCGAGCCGTCTGTGTTTTATTTCATGTGTTGTTTTTACCACGGTTTGTGTTTTTCTGTCATTTTGAAATGACACTAGCCTATATTTTCGTGTGTGTGTCAAACATTTTGGTGAACTACATTTGTTTGGGCTGGTTATATATTTGAAATAAAGAGAAAATGTTGACTTTAGCGATGACGAGGCTTCATTTAAACTGCAGAAGATGCCGTCTGACAACGAGGGGAAAACGCCTCACAGCAGCTGTTTTCCATCCTATTAGATCGCATTTCTTTAAATGATCAGTCCAGGAGATGCTGCTGATGGACAACAGTATTAGTTCAAAGAGGATAAAAGCAGGTAAAATAGATTAAAACTATCGTTTCAAAGCTGTCCAAATGTGACTGTTTACACGCATCAGTTGCCGACCGGAAGTTCTTCGCATTCTCTTTGCGCATACACGCAAAGCATCATGGGTAATTTTGCGTTCCAAGAAAAAGGTCTATAGACATGGATTCATGTCATGAGCTTTTTGAAATGTGTTGCAAGAGCCAGAATTGGTATATGTGTGTTTTTTTTTTTTTTTTAATAAATCAATTATGAGAAACACATTAAATAATGTTTGTTGTATTGTCTGCAATGAAATACAAGTCAAAGTTAGTTTAGAAATCATTACTTCCTTTTTATATTTGTGTTTACCTTACTGTCCCAACCTTTTCTGATTTGTGGTTGAATGATACAGTAATCAAACACAACATAGAGAGATAAAAGAAGAAAAAAAAAAAGAAAAAACTCACTCCTGAGCCCCTTCTTCTGTTTTAAAGACTGCAAAAGACAAAGATGACACAATTACATTTAAATATCAGCATTTTTTTTTTGCTTTAACAGTAACAGAATTTTGATTAAAACTGCTTAAATACCACAATGATGTGTAACTGTTATTTTTAATGCAATATATTACACCATAATATATTATCTTATTGTTTGAAACTTTTAAAGCCTTTGGAAAGACCCTGAGTGTTTTTTTAACCCTATAAGTGCCAAAATAAAATTCAACTTTTTTGGAAATTAGATGTTTATTAAACCATGTAGCAAATTGCCATATATATATTCTGAGATACACATTTGATACATCAGGTGTTTATTTTAATTTTAATGACAAAAAAATATTTTGCCCTTGACATTTTGACAACAGAAAACCTTTTAGGCAGTTTTTCCACTTTGTTTTTACCTGTTACCTTTTATCAAATCATATATAACAGGTTTTTAAACAAAGTATTGATCAGGTTAATATAGGTCTTAGAAACCTGTGTTTCAAATATGATACGTGCGGCTCTATAGGGTTAAATACATTTTTTAGAGAAAGTTAAAAAATTTAATACATTTTTTATACATTTGTAACTTTGTTGTTAACCATTCGATCTTTGTTAGTTTTTGCATATTAAACATATTGAGTATGGACAAAATTTGTGATATTACATTGTTATTAACGATATTACGTCATATAACATAGCCAATAAAACTGCTATGACAACAAACTCAAAATACTACAACTCATTTCAATTGACATCTGTCTGGATAATGTATCTAGAAATAAAGCGAATATGAATGTTTCTTCTATATATCAATGGGTATAAAAGATTAGCTCTTAATTGTAACGTTAGCACTATAACGTTACACTTTTATACTACTAATATGAAAGCGTTATACCATACATAAATGACAATTTTAAACAAAGTATACATTTTACTGTAACCTTACAAACTAAACAGCAACATGTTTGTTACGAGGCTGTATAGATAATTACTTATGTGTTATTACTGTCAATAACATCTGTTACTACTCCGTTAGCCACTAGTGAGACTTTGTGTTCCATTCATAGTACAGAACTATGTTTAATTACTTTAATTTAGATAGTTGTGAGTGAATAAATACACATTTAAAGTGTTTTTATTAGGAAAACTGCCTGTTTTTACCATATCTGATCGCCTGCTGGAGGGTCGTGTGTTTGTGGTGAAATCTGTGCGCGTGCCCGTTACCACTGGAAACCAGCACCGCTTTTCCTCGACGCATCAGCTGATCGTTAATTAATCAAGTAAATCTTAATTTTCTCCGGAGATCTTCAGATTCTTTTGCTTGTTTTGATAGTGTGGATTCAGACGCACATTAAATCCTGTGTGTGTTTGTGTTCTGATAAGACCAAAAGAGCGTTGATGAATCTGTTAGTCCGAGTCTAATACATTAAAGTTAAGCGACACTTTAACTTAGTCCACACAAATACATAAGCTGTTATAGTTTACGAATAAGCATGATTTTGTACGAGCTGTTTATGAATCACTTTGTCCTCCACCGGTTTGAAAACCGTGTGCCTCCTTCATGTACTTCCTGTTTACAACAGAGCATCATGGGTAATGTAGTCCAGTGATTTACGGCTTCAGTTTCTTTTCAGGGGAATGGAATCGTTTTTTTTTTTCATTTATTTCTTTGTTTAATGCTTTAGTATAACAAATGTTTTTTTGTTTTATCTGTGTTTTGTGTATGCATGTCTGTGGGTGATTGTGCGGGTTTGTGTACAGTATTTATGTGCCTGTTTATTTGTGTGCTTGTATGAGTCTATATTTTAAACTTTAGTTGATGTGTAACGCATCTGTGTGAACATAAACAACATCTCTGAATGTAAGACACTCAAAATTTAATGCAAATGGAGACAGTGGCTTTTACAGAGTTAGCTTAAGCAAGGCCTACAGTGAATGAAGTTTAGGGACTACAAAAAAAAAAAAATAAATAATAATAATAATACAACATCCGGGCTAGTGAGATCACAAACGCTTCAGGCTGCGCAAATTTACCACGCGCATACTCCCTGCGCAGCGAAGGGGTGAGGCCTGAGGTGCTGTAATGTTACAGCAGAGGAAGCAAAAATGGCGTCCAAACGCTGCTATTTCCACAGAGCTTCTTCTGTTTCTGTATTTGAGCTTCCAAAGGACACGACACAAAGAAAGAAGTGCTTACAGTTTAATTTTAATTATGTTCCAAAGAATTATAATAAAGATATAGCGCTAGCATTTGACAAAGGACAGCTTCCAGAATCTCTGTTCAGTGCTGGACTCGGCTGAAAACTCCTTTAACCATAATAGCAAAAGCTTTGGACTGTGAGCCACAACCTGTAAGTGTTTTATTTGTTAGAATTGATCTAATACATGCACTGTGTCTAGTAATGCTAGGAATATGTTGTAGCGAGGATGTAAATAACGGTGTAAACAGCAGGAAATGCTGTTTGGCACCGCTAACAACTTAGCTACAAATTTATATTTATCAGTCACACCGATGTAAACACCCACAATCTTCAGCAGCGCTGCAGTCTCTCTCTATGTAGCCACTTTCTATGCGTTCTACATCTCAAATAACAAACTCCCCAAAGAAATGAACATTTTATATTACTTGCATGTGAAAGACACTTGTCAGATTGTCATCATTGGATTTAAATGGTGTTTTAAATGTACTGATTTTCGCACTCTCTGTTTGTGTGTGCGTGTGTATGTCTATCTATCTGTCTTTCCAGGGGTGGACTGGGGAAAAAAAAAATTAGCCCTGGTTTTGTAGCCACACCAGCTCACATCATCATACCGACACAGCCTTACCCACAGACACGCACATTCACTACTTGTATTGGTGTACAGATGGTGAAATACCATAAGCAGTTCCATATGTAATTGATATTTAAACATTTAATGTATGTGACTGGAACAAAAACAAAAAACAACCCGTTTGTAACAGATTTATACATACATTCATTCATTCATTCATTCATTTATTCATTTTCTTTTCGGCTCAGTCACATTATTAAGCTTGGGATCACCACAGCGGTATAACCCACCAGCTTACTGTTGTTTTACGCAGCGTATGCCCTTCACAGCTGCAACCCATCACTAGGAAACACTCATACACACATACACTATGAACAATTTAGCCTACCCAATTTACCTATAGTGCATGTCTTTGGACTGTGGGGGGGAAACTGGAGCTCCCGGAGGAAACCCACGCGAACTCGGGGAAAACATGCAAATTCTACCCAGAAATGCCAGCTGACCCAGCCGAGGGTCGAATAAGTGACCTTGCTGTGAGGTCGACAGGGCTACCCACTGTGCCACTGCGTTGCCCCCTTTCGAGAATATTTTACTTAATTTTATTTGGCAGTGTCTGATTTTAGAGCCATTTTCTTGCTTTCTCTGAGCTTTTTGGCTCTGATGTAACAAAAGTGTTATACTCCTGTCAGTGGGTCATAGAACTGGTTTATCTGCATTAGTCTGAATGTCACACATTCTCCTGTTCACTGCTGGTTAAGCAACATGTGAACATGTAACATCAACGCTCATCAACTTTGATAGATAATTTGAGTTTAATCTTTAAAATGAAACTTATTTTATTCATTTATGTCTCTGCCCTCCTTGAGGTGTCTGACGGTATGTATATGCCATTTCATTATTATTTTTGTTTTGTTTTTAATGTATGCCTTTTCCTCATTGCTTCAGATGAGGAAATGTTATGCTTTAAATTTAAAGAACAGACCAAGTTTAAATGAATTCATTGAGTTCTTAGTTTGTTCAATGCAGTCCTGCCTAAAAAAAACCTTGTAAATATTTCAAGACATTTAGGCAAAAGGGTGGCTAATAATTCAGAAGGGCTAATAATTCTGACTTCAACTGTATGTGTATATTTATTTCATAATTATTTTTTTTCTTCACTGTAGGATTCACTGTGCTGGGCTCCTCTGCTCCTCTGGTTGCTCCTCTGGGATCTTCAGTGGTTTTGCCCTGTTTTGCTTCTGAACTTTTACCAGCGGAGGGTTTGAGGGTGGAATGGAGACGAACAGACTCAAATAATCTGGTTCATCTGATCATTGATGGTAAAAGTCGAGCAGAGGAACAGCATCAGGACTATTATCAAAGAGCTCATTTCATTACTGAGGAGATTCAGCATGGCGTTTACTCTCTCCGTCTGGATGATCTGAGAGCTGATGATAAAGGGCTGTACAGGTGTAAAGTGTACAGTCAGCGGGATGCTGGTGCAACTCTGGTTGAAATTAAAGCCGTTGGTGAGTATGGTTGAATAGGTAGCACTCTTTAGTTGTTGAGTAGGTTATTTCACAAGAGCGAACAGCCGATAACATGGCACAAGAGTGCAGTAAACAGCAAATCACATGACACAAGCACAACAAACAGCCAATCGCATGACACGCTAGTGCAGTGAACAGCTAATCACATGACACCCGGGCGCAGCAGATAGCTAATCACATGACACATGACCACAGAGATCAGCTGATCACACGACACCCGAGCGCAGCGAACAGCCGATCACACGACACCCGGGCGCAGCAGATAGCTAATCACATGACACATGAGCATAGCTCACAGCCGATTACACAACACGCAAGCGCAGCGAACAGCCAATCACTTGACACACAAGTGAATCAAACAGACAATTACATGAAACATTAACACAACCAATCAGCTAATGTGTGCAACAAACAGCCAATCACACGTCACGCAAGTGCATCGAACAGCTGATCACATGACACGCGAATGTATCAAACAGCCGAACACTACACACATGTGCAGCGAACAGCCGTTCACACAACATGCAAGCACAGCGAACAGCCGATCACACAACATGCGAGCACAACGAACAGCCGATCACACAACATGCGGGCACAACGAACAGCCGATCACACAGCATGCGAGCACAGCGAACAGCCGATCAAACAACATGTGAGCACAGCGAACAGCCGATCACACAACATGCGAGCACAGCAAACAGCCGATCACACAACATGCGAGCACAACGAACAGCCGATCACACAGCATGCGAGCACAGCGAACAGCCGATCAAACAACATGCGAGCACAGCGAACAGCCGATCACACAGCATGCGAGCACAGCGAACAGCCGATCACACAACATGCGAGCACAACGAACAGCCGATCACACAGCATGCGAGCACAGCGAACAGCCGATCAAACAACATGCGAGCACAGCGAACAGCCGATCACACAACATGCGAGCGCAGCGAACAGCCGATCACACAACATGCGAGCGCAGCGAACAACCGATCACACAACATGCGAGCGCAACGAACAGCCGATCACACAACATGCGAGCACAGCGAACAACCGATCACACAACATGCGAGCGCAACGAACAGCCGATCACACAACATGCGAGCACAGCGAACAGCCGATCACACAACATGCGAGCACAGCGAACAGCCGATCACACAACATGCGAGCGCAGCGAACAGCCGATCACACAACATGCGAGCACAGCGAACAGCCGATCACACAACATTCGAGCACAGCGAACAGCCGATCACACAACATCCGAGCACAGCAAAAAGACGATCACACAATATGCGAGCACAGCGAACAGCCGATCACACAACATCCGAGCACAACGAATAGCCGATCTCACAGCATGCGAGCGCAGCGAACAGCCGATCACACAAAATGCGAGTGCAGCGAACAGCCAACCACACAACATGCGAGTGCAGTGAACAGCCGATCACACAACATGCGAGTGCAGCGAACAGCCGATCGCACAACATGCGAGCGCAGCGAACAGCCGATCACACAACATGCGAGCGTATCGAACAGCCGATCACACAACATGCGAGCACAGCGAACAGCCGATCACACAACATGCGAGCACAGCGAACAGCCGATCACACAACATGCGAGTGCAGCGAACAGCCGATCACACAACATGCGAGCGCACCGAACAGCCGATCACACAACATGCGAGCGTATCGAACAGCCGATCACACAACATGCGAGCACAGCGAACAGCCGATCGCACAACATGCGAGCACAGCGAACAGCCGATCGCACAACATGCGAGTGCAGCGAACAGCCGATCACACAACATGCGAGCACAGCGAACAGCCGATCACACAACATGCGAGCACAGCGAACAGCCGATCACACAACATGCGAGCACAGCGAACAACCGATCACACAACATGCGAGCACAACGAACAGCCGATCACACAACATGCGAGCACAGCGAACAGCCGATCACACAACATGCGAGTGCAGCGAACAGCCGATCACACAACATGCTAGTGCAGCGAACAGCCGATCACACAACATGCGAGCACAGCGAACAGCCGATCACACAACATGCGAGCGTATCGAACAGTCAATCCCATGACACACAAGCACATCGAACAGCCGATCACATGACATGCGAGCACAGCGAACAGCTGATCACACGACACGAGCGCATCGAACAGCCAATTACATGACACATGAGCGCAACAGACAGCCGATCATACGACACACAAGCACAGCGAACAGCCGATCACACAACACGCAAGCACAACGAACAGCCAATCACACGACACGCAAGCACAGCGAACAGCCGATCACACGACACGGAAGCGCAGCAAACAGCCGATCGTACAACACGCGAGCACATCGAACAGCTGATCAAACGACACGCAAGCTCAGGGATCACATCACACGCAAGTGCATCGAAGAGCCGATCACACGGCATGCGAGCACAATGAACAGCCGATCACGACACGTGAGCGTATCAAACAGTTGATCACGACACGCAAGCGCTTTGAACAGATGATTACACGACACACGAACGCATCAAACAGCTGATCACACGACACGCAAGCGCAGCAAAAGCCGATCACATGACACTTAAGCGCAGTGAACAGTTATTCATGTTTCTCTCTGCGTTCTCGTAATGGTGTAATATTGCGCACATATAATAATGAAAAAGTATTACCATAAACAGCATGTTTTGTGACACCACGAAATAAACAATAGAACATAACATGAAACAATAGAGTTTTTATTTTGTCCATACAATATTGTCATATTGCAGAGCCCTTTATGAACATACTGTGAAGATATTAGTTTCAGTTGTCCTATTTTTTAATGTTGAAATCTTCTTTCAGAGTATTTGAGTGTGTCGGGATCTGCTGGTCCAGTTTCTGTGTCTGTGGGTGGACACGTCACTCTCAGCTGCTCTGTGAAGTCTCACGTCCCTCCTGAAGAGATTGAACGGGTCTCATGGAGGAAAGCAGATGAAGACCTCCAGCTTCTGCATTTTGAAAAGAGCGCAGTGATTCCTGCAGATGAGCGATACAGAGAGCGCGTGGTGTTTTTCCCCTCTGAAATCCCCAAAGGAAACTTCTCTGTCAGACTGAGGAGCGTCAGAACTGAAGACGCAGGAGTTTACATGTGTCTCGTCAAGACTGGAGGAGTTTCAGCAAACACCACTGTCATTATAGAAACACACAGTAAGTCAACGCTATACATCTACACCAGTGAATTTCAGCTTGTGACCCTCAGTGGGCTGTAAGGGTATTGCAGGGGGCCACAAGCTTGTTGTTGAAGTCTATGTGAATTTAAAGTTATGATTATCCTTTTCCCATATCCTGACATGCATCCAATGGACCCTTTTTTAACTTTTCCGGGTTTCTCAGTAGCAGAAGACGTCATAGCTGGGTAAAAGTAGAGCACAGTGAATGGGAGAGTACAACAAAGATTTTTTTACAACCCTATTTGCTAAAATAATAGAAGAAACACGCCATGATGGTGTTATCAAGATTTACAGAAAATGAAAAAAATAGTGTGAGACTGACTGAACCACAGCCAGAGGAGAAATTAATGTCAAATTTACTCTCAGGCCCATAGACGCTGCATTAGAAACACCTCACATGAGTGGTAATTCATTTTTTGCAATTTGACACAAAGATGATATAAGACATTCGTAAATGCATATAAATGTTCATGCAATAAATTTTTTTTTAAAATTTTAATTCAAAATTTTAAAAAACTTTCAAGGTTTTAAGTTTATGATGATTGTTAAACGCATCATAACAGTCTTGTAAATAAAGGGTCCATTGAAACAGTCCTGAAACTAGAAAAAATGTAGGGTGGATCATTGGAAGTGTCTAACAAAATGGAGTACGATTGACAAATGGATGAAAGAAGGGCAGAAACAAGACACAATTAGACCTGTCTTAAACGACTGATAGCCGAGCTCTAAATGATTGATAGCCTTGCCATAAAAGACAGATAGCCATTCCCTAAATCACTGATAGTGATTTACCCGCCGTAAATCAAAGATAGGGAGAGATACCTCCCTTAAAAACAGATAGTCCCAGACTAAAGGACTGATAGCTCCGCCTTAAAGGATGGATAGCCCCACCCTAAATCAATGATAGGCTTGCCCTAAATGACCGATAGCCCTGTCCTAAAGCACAGATAGTCCCACCCTAAAAGACTGATAGCCCGGCCATAAAGGATGGATAGCCCTGCCCTGAATGACTGATAGGCCCGTCCTAAATTACTTATAGCCTCATCCTAAAGGACTGATAGCCCAGCCCTGAATGACTGATAGCATCCATCCAAAAGGACTGATAGCCCTGCTTAGGAGATGGATAGCGCAGCTCTAAATGACTAATAGCTCGCCCTGAAGCACTGACAGCCCCGCCCTAAATGACTGATAGCCCCATCCCAAATGCCAGACAGTCCCACCCTAAAGGATTGTTAGCCCCGCCCCAAAGGATGAATAGCGCCACCCTAAATCACTAATAGGCCAGCCCTAAATGACAGAAGGTCCCACCCTAAATCACTGATAGGCCTGCCCGAAATGACTGATAGCCCTGTCCTAAAGGACAGATAGTCCCATCCTAAATCACTAATAGGCCCACCCTAAATCACTAATAGGCCCACCCTAAATGACTGATAGTCCAATCCTAAAGGACAGATAGTCCCACCCTAAAGGACTGATAGCCCCACTCTAACGCCCCATTTTCACGGGGCGTTAGCGTCAACACTTTCAAATTCACTTTGAATGGGTGACGGCAGGCATTGCCGAACTGCATTGGCGCCGCTTCAGAGGCGTTGCTCGCTGCAGCAGTTGGGACTAGCTCAATTTTTCAAGTGCCGACGGAAGCGTCAGCCAATCAGATCGCTGTATGCAAATACAACAGCACAGACAGTGGCCTATTGCTGACTGAATTTCATTGGCTGACGCTTCTATGACGATCGCTTCAGCCCCAACTTCAGACACATCTTCAGTCAAGCGTTGACGGTGAAGCCCCGTGTGAATGGGGCATTAGGAATGGATAGCCCAGCTCTAAATGACTGATAGCTCGCCCTGAAGCACAGCTGCCAACACTCTTGTTTTTCCCGGGAGTCTCTTGTATTTCAGACCCAACTTCGGGAATTTAACCCCTCCCCCTGCTCCTCAGTCAGTTTGCGTTGCACATCCACCCCCTCCCCTCCCGCTCTTCAGTTTTCGCCCCCCGCGCTTTATAGTTTGCGCACCAAACCAACATTCCCCCTGCTCTTCAGTTAGCGCACTCCCCAAACCCCTCCCACCCCCACTCTTCAGTTCGCACACAAACCCCAGTTTGCTCCAAACCTTGATACATACTTTAAAACCAATAAGGCTAAAGGTTATTGCACACTGAATTCGAAATTGTTCGTAATTTAAAAAAAAATTAATTCAATCTCAGGTTGTGTTTATCGTATTGACACACTGCTTCTGAAACTTTTGTCCATCGTAAAAACAAAAAACAAACTGGGTTTGTTTACTTTGTGACGCATATAAAATATATTAAAAAAAAAAAAAAAAAAAAACGCAAATGAAAATTTTGGACTTCAGTGTGCAGAGACCTTAAATATTTTATGTTTTGCTGATTTAGACAATAGCTAAAAAATGCGAATGAACTTTATGCGCAAAACTGGATTATCGCATAAAAGACGTGCGAATAAAGCACTGTTTCCATCAAACGTATCAAAGTGAACAAAAAGTCACTTCCTGATTAACTGGCGCCAATTATCAACAGTAAAAACTGAATTTGCTGCAGTAGGAGAAGCTTCAATCTTTGCGTCAATCTTTTTTTCATCTAATAAATGACTTGTGTCTCAGAAGGCAATCCTGACACACAGTGAACGCGTGGTGGCATTTGAAGGCGTGAGACGCGGAGCACAGACGCTCTTGATTCTGGAGGTCATTAATAATATAATAACATTAATACTTAAACGGTAAGGTGTTTTAGAATGACCAATACAACATTTCAGTTGTTTAACAGTGTGCTCAGCCTGATGGTTTGTCCATTCACACACATTTTCATTATATGCTCTCTTATGTAATGTAATGTGTATTTATATAGCACATTTATTGTGTATGGCCATACACCCAAAGCGCTTCACAATCATGAGGGGGGTCTCTCCACACCACCACCAGTGTGCAGCATCCACTTGGATGATGCGACGGCTGCCACAGGTCAACGGCGCCAGTGCGCTCACCACACACCATCTATTGGTGGAGTAGAGGGACAGTGATAGAGCCAATTCGGTGGAAGGGGATGATTGGGAGGCCATGATCATAAGGGACGATAGAGGGACTTTGGCCAGGACACCGGGGATACACCCCTGCTCTTTCACGAGAAGTGCCATGGGATTTTTAATGACCACAGAGAGTCAGGACCTCGGTTTAATGTCTCATCCGAAAGACGGCGCCCACTGACAGTGTAGTGTCCCCTTCACTTTTACTGGGGCATTAGGACTCACACAGACCACAGGTTGAGCGCCCCCTGCTGGCCTCACTAACACCACTTCCAACAGCAACCTAGTGTTCCCTAGTGGTCTCCCATCCAGGTACTGACCAGGCTCAGCCCTGCTTAGCTTCAGTGAGTAACCGGTCTTGGGCTGCAGGGTGACATGGCTGTCAAAACAAAATCACATGACATTTTGTAATGCGCATGCTGGAGTTTGTCCAGTGAAAGTGTTTCCATCGTAGTTTATGCGCATCTTTTCTTATCGAATAAAAAGTTTATCCTATAGGTGGACGGAAACATAGTTAATGTATGTACAAATTTGTTTCTCAGGTTTGTCTGAATTTCACACACTGATCTTGTTTCTGTGTGTCGCTGCGTCTGGATCTGCTCTGCTGCTCTACTTTCTCATCTATTGCAGATCACAATCTAACTGCACAGGTAATCACTGGAGGATAATGTTTATTTATTATTGCATATATCCACTGCAAAAATGACCATGATTGTAATGGTAAAAACTGTACAATCTACAGTCAAAACCTGGTAAATTATTAACAGCATTTACATGTGTGGTAAATAACTGTAATAGATCTGACCTCTGTTTTCGAGAAAACATGAAGTGTTTAGAGTCTTAATTTAAATTGTCAACCAAAACAGACGACTGTGCATTTAAAAAGGAAATGAAATTTACAATTTAAAACACATACAGTTAAAAAATATAGTGTTTACAGTTTGTAGATATGATTTTTTTTTAAGTAAGAAACTGATATTTTGTCTTTTTCCTGTAGCCAAGTGTCTTCAGATGTGCCTCATCTTTCTTCCAAACATCATGATGTTTACTGCTGTCATTCTCTGGGGTCTGTCTGAGGGTGAGGATGCAGTCTTGTTTTAATTTACTAATTTTTTTTAATAAAAAAACCCCCCAAGTTCAATAAATAGATGTTTAAATTAGACGTATTTTTAATTTTAAGGGTGATGAAAACACGACTTCTGTCATCACCTCAGTGTTTCTTACAGAGAAGTTGAGGCTCTGAATTGAGGCTTCGCTGTAGTGTTGAAATCTGTTTTTTGTTTCAGGTTTGGAGCATGAGACTGTTGCTTGTTCTGCTCTGTTTTTACTGAGACCTAACATGCTGTTTAGAGCCGGACCATATGGATCCCAAGGTATTTTAAATTAGTGTCTAGTATTGCTTCCCTCTGACATATGTTGACTATCTGTAGTTTAGTCAGGCGTACAAATATTTTTGACTTTATATGCACAACTCCAAATCAGAAACAGTTGGGACAGTATCGACAACGCAAATACAAAAAGAAAGTAGTGATTTCCAAATTTATTTTGACTTGTATTTTAATGCAGACAATACAAACACAGAATATTTCATGTTTTGTCTGGTCAACTTCTGCTCATTTGTAAATATACATCCTCTCCTGTCATTCAGACCTGCAACACATTCAAAAACAGAGGTGACAGGAGCAGTTTATGGCTAGCAATCAGGTAAACTGGTTAAATAATAATGTGATGTGAAGCAGGTGATGTCAACAGGTGATTGTAATTATGATTTGGAAGAAAAGCTGCATCCAGGATAGGTCCAGGCTGCGTCCGAAACCGCCTACTACTCAGTAGGTACTGCATTTGAATTTAACCGTACTACTCGGCCGTTAGAAAAGTACGCTCTATACAGTATGAATGTGAAAAGTATGAATGGAATTCGGACGTACTACATCCGCCTGCGTCAATTGTGTCGCTTTACTCGCATTCATGAATTCTCTCGCGGGGCATCATGGGATAGTGCAGCATGCATGGGATGCGCACTCTAGAATCTCGCTGGAAGTAGTAAGTCATCCAGGTACTTCTCGCATACTGATTTTCGAATTCTATGAATTCGGACATACTACTCGGCTTGCATACTGATTTTAGCGTACTGTATAGTATGGGAGTATGCGGTTTCGGATGCATCCCCAGTCCATTAGGAGCAAAGAAGGGCTGAGGATCGCCAGTTTGACAACAAACACATGAGAAAATGATTGACATGTTTAAAAACAAGTTTCTTAAAGAAACAAAGGAAGACATTTGGATATTTCACCTTCAACAGTGCAGAACATCATTAAAAGATTCAAGGAATCTGGAGGAATTTCAGTGTGTAAAGGACAAGGGTGTAAGCCTGAGCTGAACAACTGTGATCCCTGATCCCTCAGGCGGCGCTGCATCAAGAATCCTCATTCATCTATGGGCAAATCACCACATGGGATCAGGACTACTGTGGCAAACCTTTGCCAAGTACCACAATACATACTTGCAAATAGTTAACTATTTATGTGATGTGGGTAAATGGTGTGTTTCAATCCGGCTACTGGTGTTTTTGTGCTGAAGCATATAGCGGACTTAAGCACTTCACCCCAAAGGTTATTTGTTATTCTTTATTCCTTTAAATAATGTAGCCTAGTTGTCTTTTTAATGATTAATGAATGATCTATGATGCCTTGTTTAATTGTTCACATCCCATCCCTTTGTGCCCCCTGGCGACACAGTCGCAAACTGCGGTCATACCTAAAAAACATGTTCTTTTTCCTTTAAAGCGGCGGCGGTAGATCGTGCAGCGGTAATGTTCACATTGAACTCTCATCTACTGTACATCCACAAATGCCAGTTAAAACTGTACAGTGCTGAAAGGAAGCCTTATGTTAACAGTGTTCAGAAGCGTTATCGACTTCTCTGGGCTCAAAGGCATCTGGGATGGACCATCACATAGTGGAAATGTGTACTGTGGTCAGATGAATCAGTATTTCAGGTGTTTGGGGGGGAGAAATAGACGTTGTTGGTTCCGGACCAAAAGAGAAAAGGATCATCCAGACTGTTACCAGCAACAAGTCCAAAAGCCAGGATCTGTCATGGTATGGGTTTGTGTCAGTGCCCTTGCCAATTGTAACTTGCACTTCTGTGATGCACCATTAAGGCTGAAAAGTACTCAGAGATTTTGGAGCACAAGATGCTGCCTTCTTTTCCAGGGACGCCCTTGCATATTTCAACAAAACAATGCAAAACCACATTCTGCACACATTATACAGTCTTGACTGTGGAGGAAGAGGATACAAGTACTTGACTGGTCTGCCTACAGTCCTGATTTGTCTCCAATAGAGAATGTGTGGCGCATTTTGAATGTGTCAATGAAGACCCCGAACTGTTGCCCACCTTAAGACTTGTTTTCAGGAAGAATGGGAAAAAATAACACCTGAAACACTTCATCACTTAATGTCTTCAGTTCCTAAACGTGTTTTAAGGGCTGTGAAAAGCCATTACAAAGTGGTAAATGCTTTACTGACACAACTTGTTTTGAAATGTGTTGTAAGAACCAAAACTGGAATTTGTGATTATTTTGGGGGAAAAAACTATAAAAAAAAAAGATGAGGAACACATTAAATAATGTTTGTTGTATTGTCTGCAATGAAGTCAAATTAAATTTAGTAATCACCATTTTTTTGTTTTTTTTTATTTGCTTTTTCCATACTGTCCCAACTTTTTCTGATTTGGGGTTGTATTTTCAATTTGTGTATTAATGGTTCATTAATAGGTGCTCTAGGTAAATTTTGTCAAACAGTGTTTATATTTGAATGCACCATAACCTGACAAGACTCTACCCCTTTTAACATCCTAATTATAGTTGTTAGCTGATTGGCTGACAGCAAGTTTTCAGGATCAGTCTGACACAAAAACTTTTTTTTTCTTTCTTTTTTTTGTTTAGATTTTGCTTAGTGTTGAATTGTTATTTTGTATTATTGACTTTGCAAATTTGATCTTTTACAGTCATCAGTCAGTGGATGAATTACGGGTTTTGGAGTTTTTTGGAATACATTGTAATTACTGGTGTGATTTATCAAGGTAAGAACCTATATTTCACCAGCACATTCAGTGCTGCTTTACTGTTACACTCTCGGGTTAGTCGGCTGGTGTCTGTTTGGTGTGTTCACGTGCAGTTATTTGGTCCACATGGGAGCAGACACAAGGCGACCACATAGTTGATTTTCATCAGCACTTGTTGTTTGGCATCAGCTTGGTGCGTCCCAGCCCTTAGACTGTGTAAATGCTACTACTTCTTTACATATAGTTAAATACTTGTCTCTTTTTTATTATAACACATTAAAGTAACAAATTCAACAAAGTAAATAAAGACAAGTATCATCAGATGTACATTATGGGAGTGCAAAAACACTCATGTTCATGATCGTATTATTAAAGTCTCACCGATTATACAGTATTTTGAAGAAGTGGTGGGGACACAGGAAGTGACTTTCTCTGAAGAACACTAGTTTTTTACATCATGACCATTATTATCGTTATTATAAAATACACAAACTATAGACTACAAAATTGTAGAATTTATATGGCAAAAATTTTAATAAAGTAAATATATATAAATCCTAATCCAATCATGACAAACTGTATATTGTTGGAAAGGTCCAAGATTTCTGAATATATATTTTATATATCATGTAGACTCACTGGCCACTTTATTAGGTACAACTTACTAGTACTGGGTCGGACCCCCTTTTGCCTTCAGAACTGCCTTAATCCTTCGTGTTATAGATTTAACAAGCTACTGGATATATTCCTCAGAGATTTTGCCCCATATTGGCATGATAGCACATCCATGATGCGAATCTCCTGTTCCACCACATCCCAAAGGTGCTCTATTGGATTGAGTTCTGGTGACTGTGGAGGAAATTTGAATACAGTGAACTCTTTGTCATGTTCACCAGTCTGTTAATTAAATGAAAAGGCTGGTAACTACTACACCCGTCTGGCACCATCAACCATGCCACGTTCAAAGTCAATTAAATCCCCTTTCTTCCCCATTCTGATGGTCGGTTTGAACTGCAGCAGATCGTCTTGACCATGTCTATATGCCTAAATGCAGTTGCTGCCATGTGATTGACCGATTAGAAACGTGCATTTGGACAGGTGTACCTAATAAAATGGCCAGTGAGTGTATATATCATTTTATATATATCAACTATATATAATTTGAAAGCTTAAAATATCTGGTTTCCAGGTCTGGTGATTGATGGATATTACTTAGCAACAGCTTTTTTTCTAATTTGCAACAAGTATGCACATCGGAGTTGTAAAGCATTACTTTGCTACAGCAATTCAAATGTAAAATTTTGTTTAGATGTGCTGGTGGTGGTGACATGAGCTGTGACGCGGTTCAGCGGCAAGCAGTCAGTGTTGCCAGATTGGGCCGTTTCCTCTACAGAACCAAATTACCCATCCAGCCTCAGACAGCGTTGTCGCCAGAGTGGCCAAAGCAAACTTTGCCACTCTTGCCACCTTCAGAGTGAACGCACAGTTAGAGACAAAAGAAAGTTGAAATCAAATACAAAACAGAACTTCACGTCTACTATACAAACATTGACAAAAGTATGAACAAATATGGTTAAAATTCTTTAAAACACACGGGGCGTCCTCAATATGTTCACCAATAGAGCAATTACCAACCTACATCACACATGATGTCACGCGGGTCCCCGGTTGCAAAAAAAGACAGGCTGCAATAGTAAAGATGTCGTGTTGTGCGGTAGGATGCCAAATTGAAAAGTCCAAAAATAGAAAACTCAACTTTTACCGTACACCACACTGCTTTAATGCCAACCGCAGACGTCTTTAGCTAAAAGGGAGCTGAATGAAGTGACGACTTATTTAGAAATGCTGGACTCTGCAGTGCTCATGTCATATCAGGTAAGTACACGTTATGCTGAATCATACACATCACTCATTTTTGATTGCAGAAATGATTTCAGCGAGAACAGTTATATATGGTGAATTAAACTGCAGACACTGAATGCTAAGAATGAAACATGAAAGTGTAAGTTATTAAGGTAAAGTTGGTTTCAAATTCACACATTCATTCAGAGACAACTTGTGACACTCTCCCTATATTGTTTACCACGGCACTTTGCATATTCGCTCTGAAATAAGCTGCAAGTGTGACTTAAAAACAACATTAACGCTGTTTATTTGACTGTGAATGTTCTGCTTTGATAGTCGTTGGCTGCTAAAATGATTTCGCTATTTAGAGTTTGCAAATAATACTTTTGTGAAATGATATTATTAAAGAGAAAGTCTGAATGTGCGAATATAAAACCAACTTTACCTCTGTGTAGGTTTACATACCCTGCTGTAGGTTCAGGTGCAGTTTGCTGTCAGAATGCAGTCGTTTTGCTTGTTGATAATTACCCAGGCCTTGTACAGCTCTGTCTTCTTTCATTGTCGTTGGCTAGGCAGAATCTGGGTTTTTAGCTCTACATAGTGTTGAATCTAGTAATCATGGAGCATTATTTCTTGCTCATGACCACACAGAACAACACTGTTGGCATCCAAAGACTTGTAAGCCTTTAACTTCTCTCTTGTAAAATCACTTGGAGCTTCAATGTGATTGTACATTTGGTGGATGCATGGTCATGTCATCTTATCCAATATTCATTGGCAGGGTGCTATCGCAAATGGACCTGTCAGATGAACGCCGCTCACTTTAACGTTAATTTTGCCGAATCACTGTGTTTATCACAGGACGACGAGCTGTTATAATATGCTGGAAGCATTATGTAAATAAAGGATATAATATGTAATCAATATATCTTTATTCTAAGACAACAATAAACTCTGCACCGCATCGGATGTCATTCCCTCGCTGTAAATGCTGGCGCTCCCGGTTTCTTTCTGCCACCTTCCTGTGCGCGCATCCTGAATGTTTACAAACATGGTAATTGGTCTATAGAAACTGAATGTCCTGGTGGTCATGTTTGGTACTGCGACCAAACAAAATCTTTTTTTTTTTTTGGTCAATTTTAGGCTAAAACATGTTTTGTAAACTGCACATCTCATGGATTCTGTTGACAAATACATTCATTGTTTTATTATTTTCATACACACAAAGGCACATAACTTCTGTGTTTCATTTAACCTGTTGAACTGTTTGCACAATCTGACATATGTCATCTTTAAGATGAGACCAAGTTTAAATCTGTGCACTAAAGGTTAATGTCTTCTTTCTTTTCCTAGTTCTGTTTTTTAAATATGCTCTGGATCAAAGTTGGCAATCTACAGTTTTCATCGTAGTCTCAGTAGGACTTTCATTTGCCTTACTGCTTCTGGTGTTTCTGTTATGGTGTAGTAAGTATCCCTCTTTAAGTCTTTTGTTTTAAGCCTGGTTTATACTTCTGCGTCAAGTGATCGGCGTGACCCACGGCGCAAGCCTTGCCCATAGCCATGCATTTATACTTCTGCGCGGTTTCTGTTGCTCTGCAATACACTTCCGAAACGCTAGCTGGCAGTAGGTGTTTGTGTTCCTCTGTGTTGAGTTTTTCGCTGGTGTTTTGTTTTTTTTAAAACGCTTCCTTAATGTACAAGTGGCTCAAATTTGCTAATTTTGAGGCAGGAAACGACGGACGTGCAACAACTTTAATCATAAGGTAAACACGAAACAGCAGTCTCCATTCGGAGCTCCTTTTACGGGACTCGACACTTGTAAACACCCACTGCATCACGCCCACCCAGCTCTCACCTCCGCCCACACTCGTCAGTGCAACTAAGTCGACCAATCTTAGAGCTTATGCTGCGCGTACATTTTTTGAGAGGTGCACATCAGCGGGCACATCAGAGGGGCTATGCGTCGACACAGGCTGTGCCGTAGCAAACTATAAAGCCTGGTTTATACTTCTGTGTCAAGTGATCGGCGTGACCTACGGCGCATGCAACGTGCATTTATACTTCTGTGCGCGCTGTCTCAGTTGGTCTGCATTAACACTTCCCAAACGCTAGTTGGCAGTGAGGTTTTTTATATTTCTGTGTCAAGTTTATTCGCTGGTGTTTTGTTTTTTCTGAACACTTCCGGGATGTACAAGTGGCTCAAACTCGCTCATTTTAAGGCAGGAACCGGCGGACGTGCAACAACTTTAACGATGAGCAAAACACAAAACAAAACTTTCCATCTGGAGCTCCTTCACGGGACTCCACACTTGTAAACAATCACTCCATCGGGCTCGTGCGTCTCTCGGTCCTGCCCAGACTCGTCAATGCTACCAAGCCGATCAATCACAGAACTAGCACTATGTGTCATTGCGACGTGTAGTTACATTTTTTGAGAGGTGCACGTCAGCAACGCCGACGGCCACGGTGTAGGGCTATGCTTTAACGTGTAGTCTGCGCCATAGCATATGCGTGCGCTTGATGCAGAAGTATAAATCATTCTTAAATTAGCTTTTAAGTGACAATAGCAAACTTTTTAGCTAATGTAAACATTAGCATTGTTATATTTGTTTAAAAATTACATCAGTGCATGTAGCAATGTCCTGGGTTCAACTCTGGCAACAAATGATGCGTTCCCTGCTGAAAAAAACAGCTTAAACCAGCCTAGGCTGGTTGGCTGGTTTTAGCTGGTCGACCAGGCTGGTTTTAGCGGGGTTTTGGCCATTTCCAGGCTGGTTTCCAGCCATTTCCAGCCTGGTCTTAGCTGGTCAGGCTGAGAGATGACCAGCTAAAACCAGCTTGACCAGCCTAGCCAGGCTGGGAGCCCAGCCAAAACCAGCTATGTCCAGCTTAAACCAGGCTGGTCAAGCTGGTTTTAGCTGGATTTAGCTGGTCAGTTTCCAGCCTGACCAGCTAAGACCAGGCTGGAAATGGCTGGAAACCAGCCTGGAAATGGCCAAAACCCCTCTAAAACGAGCCTGGTCGACCAGCTAAAAGCAGCCATCCAGCCTAGGCTGGTTTAAGCTGGATTTTTCTGCAGGGTTTAGATGCAAAAACCCCGAAATGCCGTTTTATTTTATTCTTCTAAAATTTTCATTTTTCTCAGACTCCTATGAGTAGGCTCAGTAATTTTACTTTTAAAGTGACAAAACGTTGTTTTCATTTTGTGTGGAGAGGTAAGCATGGTCGAACACCCAATAAAGGGACAGTCGGGAGAGGAGAGAGCTAAGCGACGACCACACAGTGGGAGCTGTCATTTGCATTTTCAGCAAAATAAAAATAATAAAAGTCTGTTACTTACCTCAACGCCGACCCTGTCTTCTTCTTCCCACACAAAGAACCTTTGTTACACATTGCCTTGAAAGTAAAAAGCTGAACAAACTTAGGAGGCTCAGAAAAATGTTCATTTTAAGAGGAAATTACAGATGCATTTAGAGGTTTTTGCATCTGAACTCTTTAAATGTTTTATCACATATCCTCCTGTTTGTAGTGATGGACTGTGACAATGCCTGGAGAAATAATGATCCACAGTCACAAATACTGCACGCAGTTTTGGAGGGGATGCTGGCAATATTAGGCATGCTTATTATGGGAGGTCTCCATTTGGATAAACAAGGTAACTTTTGTTTGAAAGGAATTTTACATTAAATGTTTAATGAGCATTCATTTTGACGAGTTTGTTCACCTTGTTAGTGGATAAACCGACTTTAAAAGATGAAATGCTGTCACTTAGAAAAATTGCGAATCACTTGATGAATGGCAATCTGTCTTACTTTAATGAAGCTAACATTTTGCACCCAAGGGTATAACACCTGTAACTACACCTTTAAAAGGGACAGTTCACTCAAAGAAATTATGTCATTATGAAAATTATGTCACAATTTACTCACGCTTGATTTCTTCCACACCCGGGTAAATCTAGAAGGGATACAGCTGTAAATACTCACATCAATATAGCATATTGTTTTTGTAACTGTACAATAATAACAAAAATTTTAACATTACTGTGAGGGTTGGGGTAGGATATAATAAAATGAACAGTTAATTTATAATAAATAATATGAAATATACTCTGTATATTTATTTTTTACATCACTGTAAGGGTTGGTTTAGGGTGGATGTTATTCAAATACAATTAATTGGTAACTTAATGAATATTACAAATAATACTCTGTGTAATTACTGTTTTTACTTTACTGTAGGGGTTGGGTTTAGGGGTGGATATTAATAAAATACAATTAATGGGTAATTTAATAAATAATATGAATAACTTATCTTGCATCCAGAGCTGTATCCCTTCTAGCAACAACCTTCAGCTTGAGCTTACATTAAAAACATATATTTTGAAGTATCTTTTTGGAAACTGGTAACTACTGACTTCCATAGTAGGAAAAAGAAATACTGTGGTTGCCAATGGTTAGAGGTTTCCAACATTCTATAATATTTTTGTGTTTAACAGAATCAAAAAATATGTAAAGTGTGAAGTAAACAAAAAATGCAATAGGTTTAAACAACAACAACACCAAAAAAGCTATTATATTCAACTGTCTGTTTATTTATTACTTACCTACCTTTATTTATTCATTTATTTAGTGCTTCTTGCTGTTGGAGTTTTTCCTCTGCTCTCAAGTTGGATGGGTTTGGCCTATCCCGGTATTACTGTGCTATTACCCAGGAGAAGTAGTAAGTGTCACAGTATGAGTGGTTCTGTATGTTGGGGAAAAAATGGTAAAACTTTGTCTCCAGGTCCTGTTTACTGTGTATTTAATTGTCTGGTGAGACCATTTTAATCTCAAGGCAGACAGATACAGATCAATGTAATTTTATTTCTGCTGAAATTAACATTTTAGGCAAGGCAAGTTTATTTATATAGCACATTTCATACACAGTGGCAATTCAAAGTGCTTTACATAAGCAAGAATAAAAGAAACGAGTAAAATAAAAATAAAAACAAATAAAAAAAATAAGTAAACAGAAATATTATTTACAGAAATATTAAATAATGAAAGGAAACTTAATTTCTAGCAGTTAAGGGGGAGCTATTAGGCAAAAATAACTTTTATTAGGGGTTTAAACACAGTTTTATGTCAGCAGTATGTGAATATAACCAGCTTCTAATAGTAAATATGTAATAATACTAGTGCTGTCAATCAATTAAAAAAATTACTAAACTAATTAATTACACTTTTTTTTTTTGCAATTAATCACATTTAAAAGACTGAAACTTGTAATTTTGGCTATTGAATATAAAATTAATGTTAACAAAAACTATTTGAAACAATTAAAATATAATTGTTTATTAGAATTTTAGTTTAACTTTTAACACAGATTTCTTCATGTAAACAACATACCCACTATAAACCATCAAGATCCTTGCTTAACATTCATTTTTATTACAGAAATAAAAACACAGGCATGTTAATGCCATTTGATCTTTAAAACAATTATTGCCAATAAAGAAAAAAAACTATTTCTAAGTTGGATTCTAAGTGGACTGCAAAAAAAAAAAAAAAAAAGCCAAAATACAGGCATTGTAGTTATGGAAAATTATAATAACAATAAAGTATTGAATACAAACAATTGCACTCATTGTAAAGTTGTATTGCTGTGAGTTGAGAACATTAATTATAAAGCAGAAACAGTTTTGCTTAGACCTCCTTTTCCTTCAGCCAGTTGCTAAGACAGTCCAGTCTGTTGACATTATCGGGGGACAATGTGGATCTTTTCTTTTGAATGATGTGAGCTGATAGTGAGAACAGTCAGGATCACAAGCAGAATCACTAAAACAGCATATGCATTTCGGTGCCTAATTTTGTGGCCACTGGTGCTGCGACAAGGACGTAAGAAGCATCAAGCGGTACATCAAAGGCACCCACAGGTACGCATTCTGTCACAACAAAGACTAATTCTTACAGAGACTTTGGTCACACCAGGGGCCTCATGTATCAACGCTGCGTACGCACAAAAACTTTGCGTACGTCAGGTTTCACGCTCAGAATGGCTCACGTTTGGATTTACTAACGATGAACTGAACATGGGAATGTGCGCAGCTCCACGGCAGCTTTATGGCTGGCGTACGCACATTTTTTGTGCGTGTCTGTTTTATTTCCATTGGCGACTCCTAGAGGCAGTTGTGTTAAATTGCTCTCTAAAACGTGTCTTTTGAGCCTTACAATGGCAGCTGTATGAGACGGGTTCATATAGCAGGTATATAAGGTTTCCATACCATACAGTTGACCAGCCAAACATTAAAGCACAATTTGCAGCGGTCGCCTGTTTTCCCAATGTAATGGGAGCTATCTACTGCAAGCACATTGCTATAAAGACACTATCTGAAGATGAATTTGCATGAGTGAATCAGAAACATTTCCATTCAATAAATGTGCAAATTAAATATGATGCACAGACTTATTGATGATTCCTACTTGTCTTTCTCGTGATAAATAGTTGGCAAAATCTGATATGTAGCGGGGGAAAAAAGAAGAAAGAGTTCATCAGACGCTGGTTTCGAACCGAGTTCATGCTCGAACGTGTCAAAACCATAGACTGTAAAATATATGGACGTAGTATCCGTGACGTCACCCATAGGTTTCTAAAGAGCGCAAAAGAAGCCACAAGTAGGCGCGGCCAACCGTCGCCATTTTGTTTGCGCGTCATCACACCCACGGCGGGATACCAAACAAGGGCAAAGAGGCGGAAAGTGAGCGGAGCTACAGACACCTACTGGTATTTACCTTGGACCTGGTTCAGACACACTTTACTTTGGGAGAACGCTTAATACTTTGTCACCTGTGACTCGTTTGTATTCTGACCACTTGTGCTTGGTTTTATACTATATCAATAAAGTGTTTAGACTTTTAAAAACACTGCTGTAATACATTGAGCCACTAAACATTGTTCTTATTATGTTTTTCAACAGGAGGAAAACGCGAATTACTTCCAAACACTTCAGATATAGTCTGTGTTAGTTACTGTAAGACTATTGATGAAATCCAGCATAACACTGTATGACAACACTTCAGATGACTGTTCTAGAGCCTACAGCTAATTAATCGGACAGATTCTGAAGTGCATTACAGCTCTAAATATAAATATAAACGATAAATGATCTTAAATAAAACAAATACATGTATAGAGATGGTATATAAGTATATATCTTTACTCACATGGGAAACGGAGGCCACGTGAATGATTTGTGAGCACAATTAAGTGCACTCAGCATGCCATGCCATCTAATAATTGTAGGAAACAAGCCCAAAAGGCAGTCGACTGTGTAAAGCCACATAAAACAACACAGAAATACGATAAATATGCCGAGTTCAGTGGCTAATCTGCAGGATTCAGCTGAGGTGACGTGACGGCGACCAACGAGACCTAGCTGTCAATCAAGTGACCACACCCTTAATTATGCAAACTTAATATAACTTAATATAAAGGAAACGGATGAGTTATAAAAAAATTCACCCCCTCACAGTTGTCATGAAGGGTAATATTAGCTGTATTAACCAAAATCTTTTTTTGTACCAGGCTGTAAACACCTTTTTTCTGCTGTAAAGTTGGCCATTCTAACAGTGGGCTCAATTGAAATTTGCTCTGTTTTGGAGCCAGGAGCGGCCAGGACTAGCCGAATTTCAGATGAATTGCAATTTTAGTTACTTCCGTATTGGCTTCCTGAGAGAGAGCGGGAGGTTGCCGCTTGGTCAAAACATGTTACCAAGCGTTTTACAGGCTGCGCCACTGAGACTAATAAAGTTACTACAACATTTTACACCTATAAATCACACTATTTCTCTTTTAACTACACAGTGCGATGTTCAGACACAACTGTGTTAACCGTATCAGCTAAACTCTCCCACTCTATTTTTTTCTTTTGTTGTTAATTCCGGAGAACAAACTTGCAAATAACACCGCTTTTCTCCGGTCTACCTCCGAAAGCAGCACCTCCAATTCACATTCTGTTCAAAGTTTCTCTTCTTGCTTGCTTTTGCCTTTGCTTTTTCGTTGGGTTTTGCCAAAGTAGAGTCATTAGCATATTCATACGGGGGAGGAGGCAGGGAGGGGTTTTGTGCTCGTTCATGTTGCGCTCAGTTTCACGTTCATTCAGATGTACAAAAGAATATGCGTGAGATTCGGCTTACGCAGTGTTTCATACATCTGGGGCCTCATGTACGAAGACTTGCGTGGAAATCATACTAAAACATTGTGTACGCACAAAGCTGTAAATGTGCGTACGCAGAAAAAAATTCAGATGTATGAAACACTGCGTACGCCGAATTTCACGGATATTCTTTTGTACATCTGAATGAACGTGAAACTGAGCGCAACATGCACGAGCATGGCTTAATTTTGAAGTTTGGCTTAATTGGTGGATTACATAAATACGCATCCATGACAATTAATATTGTGGCTTTTTATTATGTTTTTACAGTTTTTTCCAGTAATATTAGAAAAAGCATGTGCCATCACCCTGACTTCAAATTGTTCTTGTGAAAAAGAAGTGTTTTATAATGAGAACATGACGTCTTTTTTCAGATTCACTTCTGGTACGGAAAGGGCAGTGGCTCAGTGGAATCATACTGATAAATGCTTTTATGCTCTGTTTTTATATTTACACTCTGGAAAATCATCAAGGTATTTATTTACGTAAGATTTGTTAGTGTTTTTATAATGAGCTTATTCTGCTCTCAAAAGCTGCCTTTAGTTCAGAAAAATACAGTGAAGCTGTGAAATGTTACTGCAATATTAAATAACTGTTTGTTCTTTTATTAAATGTGGTTTAAAACGTCATTAATTTTCATGGTTTAAAGCTGAACTTGACACATGATTTAGTCTTCAGTGTTGCTTCAAAGACTCATTGTGAATACGTTCACAGGTCTGCATTTCTGGGCATAGTGAAATATGAAACCGGAAGTTCGTCTGTGTAGCAGAGGCCAGCTAGCAAGTGCTGTGCAGGTAAAACCTCACTCCAGGATCGTTGAGGTTACAATGGTGCCGTGACCCGGACGGGAGTGAGGTTTAGGGGGGTGAGTGTAGCAGAGGCCAGCTAGTAAGTGTTGTGCAAGTAAACCTCACTCCTCTGACCTCTAAAAGTGCTCTAGCGACAGATGCTAGAGGCCATGGTCTTTAGCCTTCTTGTTAGAGCAACCGACTCCCATGTGGAAGGTCGCCGGTTTAATCCCAGCCCGGAGCGGATTGGGTGGTGTATGACCGGTGGGGTTACATCTGCTCGCATTTTTTGCAAATCTCCTACAGACCACTGCGTAAATTTTTTAATGAACTCAAATTTCTCTTGTGCGCCCTCTTCTTGCGTAAATCCACCAGAGGGTGCAAAGTACACTTCAGCTGACCAGGGCAGCTTGCATCCGACTGACTGACCCGCTTCTCTAAACCCAATCGATAGTGTTTTCAAAGCCAATCTAGAAAAAGAAAAGCCGTCTCGGCCACGTGATTTCACCTTGTTTTTATTTTGTTGCTTTTGTTTTACCTGCTTTCTGGAATCATTCTAAAGTTTTGCAACCCAACTGAAGCATAAATCACTTACTTAAATTCAATTACGATTGTCTGTTATGAAATAAACTTCCGTTTTTTACCAAATCCTCTTATTTAAGCCCTCTGTTCACCCGCACCGCAGTTGTTCAAGTTTAGTTTACTCACAGCATGCTGTCATGTGCTGTTTGGGTTTTGTTCACTGAATCACACTGTAACCGCTTTTCATATTTGGTCTCAGTGTAACTGTTACTGTTTTAATAATAACTGAATGAGAGTATATATTGGATTGTTTAGAGTAAGAGGGGGGTATTAGGCTTGTTAAAAAGTAAGGAGTTTGTGGATAAGTGCTTACTGGAGACATGAATCGTTTCAAATGATTCAGTTCGATTGGGTGAACTAGTTCAACCGTTTCACTGGTGAAAAAGATTCATTCGCAATTGCGATATAGAAATAAAACCCAATATTGGGCACAAATGTGTTAAAGTAATAGTTTAAAGTGTCTGTATTTAATGCTGTCACTGTGCTGCTGTCATGTCCACTCGTTGTTTTTGTTGCGGGAGCAACATCGAGGATGACAAGAGGAGAACCGGCTCTAGCAGGACTACAGACTTTGAGGTGTCGTAAGTTATGGGTCAAACACCTGCAGCGCGAATTAGATTTACTTTTAAAAGGCTTACAGTAAGATTATGTATTAAATACATTTACAAAGACAAAAACGAAGGAGGTTTGGCTATAATATTAGTTAGTTTCAGTTAGTTTTGTATGTACACTATACAGTTTTAGTTAGGTCTAGTTTTAAAAAATTATTTTTTTTTTATTTCAGTTAACAACAAATATTTTACATTTTAGTTTGTTTTCGTTAGCTATAATAACCTTGGCTGCGAGCCACTGGGAAAACTGGTAACACCAGAAATGTCATCCGTATGGAGGTAAGCGGTCAGCTTGTAAGTCATCGGCGGTATCATACCGCCAGGTAGCGTCCATTTTATAGACGAAATGCTGCCTCACATATCTCTGGGTACAAAATTCAAGCTCTCCAGAAATGTAGACAGGGGTATGTATCCACAATGAGCCTGTCTTGTCAAATATTCTAGTAACATGATCTCATGATCTGCTCTAGGAAAAACATTTATTGTTTTTATTATTATTATTTTTTTAATGTTGTTGTCAATTTGAAAACCGATGCAACACCAATCAAAAATATCGTTACAAATGAATTGATTTTTATAAAATACACAATATATAGTTTTAAAATGTTGAGCACTATTAAACATAAAACAATTAAGTTGTCCCAAAAAACAATTAAGAATTGTGTTGTTTCAACAAATTGTAAATACATTGTCATGTTTCGAGTGTATCACAGTTTCCATGATATAATAAAGCAAGACAAAACCTTTTTAGCACTGATAATTTTAAGCAAGAATTATTGTTAGTGATTTTGTACCCATAATAACTGATCATAGCAGAACAGCAAATCCTCATATTATAATGATTTCTAAAGGAACATTTCAGCTTTAAATCACAGCAATAAAATAAATTTGAAGCTAAGTTCAATAAGAAGACGGATATTTAAAATCATAATCATATTTCACAGTTTTTCTGTATTTTTGATTCTTGGTGAGCAGATTCAAATTATTTTATGACAGTAAAAAGTCTGTTTCCAAACTTTTGACTGGTAGTTTATATCTCAGAGTGTTTATGCTAAAATGATCTACGTCTTTTGGATTTAATAAAACGAGTCCTCCATTTCTGTGGACAGATTATATGGCATGGGCGAGTGTGGTTGTGTTTCTGCAGATACAGTGGACACTTATGGATTTGACCTGGGCGTTTAACAAATCAGGTACAGTAATGATCATCATCTTTTTGTATCCCTGTATTTCCAACACAATCTCACGGCAATTCGTAACTTTTTCTTTTAGTAGCTAATTCGTACGAATTCGTATGATCTAATTCATACATTTTAGTACGATTTGCTCATCCCCCAAGGAGGGTTGTGTTTAGGGGTGGGGTTTGGTGCCACGCCTCCTTTTCAAAATCGTACAATTTCGTAAGACTGAACTCATACGAATTCGTACGAATTAGCCACTAAACTGGCAAAACGTAAAATACTTTTTTTTTAAAAAAAAAATAATAAAATATGTTTTCTCGTGAGATCAGGCTGGTATTTCTGCAATGAAGTCACCCCAGTGCACAGAAAATAATGGTAACACTTTACTTGAAGGGGTGTTCATTAGACTGTTATGAAGCCTTTATAATAATGTCATGCATGTGAATAAGATTTTATGCATGCAAACTAAGATTAAATGAAATGCAAAGATGACATTATTTGTTATGACTTGACATAAACATCTCAACCTATTTTTGTCTGTCGTGACAACCTGACTTTACAGAGAAAGCAAAACTTGTCATAAACCCATCCTGAAGCCATTATAAATGTCATGAATTTCATAAGAGCGTGATTAATCATTAACTACAGTGGTACAAGCTGTTTTTTGTGTCATTGAAATGTCATTAAATATTAATGACACTGTAAAAAATGATTTGACAGAGTAATGACGCATTTATTGAGACTTTTTAATGACAAATACTGTTTGTTCCACTGAAATGTGATCCGAATAACATTTATGACACAATTACAATGACAATCATGTTTATGACAGATTTATAACAAGTTATGTTTTCTTGGTAATGTCAAGCTGTCCTGACAATCAATGTCATCTTTGCATGTATAATGTCATAGGTGAGCAAATGACACCTAATAAGAGTTGTTACAAGCATGCATAAAATCTCATTTATATTCATGTCATGGTTTCTAAAAGTTTCTTACCTTCTGCTAAAGTGTTTCCAAATAAATAAAACGAACATCCTGAACAAATGCTACTTCTGCAATTCAATAAAAGCTTAATAGAGCATTTCAGGTTTCTTTATTATTTATTTTTTACATGTTGAAATGTTCCATCACTGAAATTGTTATTAATACAGATTATAATTATGGCTTTGTCACTAGTTTAGCAAGCTTTTGATCTCCCAAACTATTTCAATCTCTGCTTGTGTTTCCTGTATATCAGTTGGTCGTCACAGCAGATTTGTGTATCTGTTTGGATCAGTCGGTGTTGTTTTACTCACCTCTTCAACACTGACACTGAACATATGTGAGTTCAATCCCTCCATTATTACTTCAGATATATCAATGGTGGATAGCATACAATTACATTGGTAATGATAATCTATCCAGTGATATCTCTCTTCATTGTTGATTTCTCAGTGAATGGCGAGCGTGTGCTGGGAGATCTGAGAATTGTTCTCTTTGCATCTGAAAGTGTCTTCGCTTCAGCTCTGCTGGTTTTACAGATAGCTGCACCTGGTGAGTCTGAGCTGACTGTGTTTTTATTACAGGATTTGTGTAATGTCCGTGGCTGTTCCCTTTTTGTGTGTTGTCATAAATAAAAAAAAACATAGAGATTTAGTGAAAATCTCTGTTTCAGTTACTCTGAACCTATTCAACTCTATGCTGATATTCTATTTACAGAAATCATAATGAGAATGTTTAAGTATCTGTGTGCAATTTTTTTTTTTTACATCTAACTCTTCTATTCAGTTCTGTTCCATTCTGTTCTGTTCTACTGCATTATAATTTGTTCTACTGTATTCTGTTCTTTTAGGCCCCGTTTACACTAATGCGTTTTCATTTTAAAACGCATAAGTTTTGCTATAGTTTCGCCATCCACACTACGCTGAATTTTTCGAGTGCCGAAAACAGATCATTTTGGAAACGCTGAAGAGGCCATTCAGGCATATATAAGCATCATCTTCACTGTATGCATATTCATACCACGATGCAGCCTAACATTATGCTGCCTCCTCTTCATTCATTTTCAGTGAAAATACGAAACATGCCCTCTCTTTTGCTGAATATCAGTTTTAATAATTAATAATGGCCATTATAACACTATAACGTACAATAAGTTTATACATTATAGGAAATAAAAACAAACAATTACTCAATGTGCAGAATGTACATGATTCCATTAATTATTAACTTATCTCTGCGCTCAGCAAAAACATGTTGACTGAGAACAAGTACTAGATTAAAAAGACCAAAGTCGGGGAACATGTCGTTAGATAAAGACAACAAGATGAAATATAGCTGCAAGCAGCAATTAAGGGGCCAAGCACTATTGGCCATAAGGTGGCGCTGCTCCAGACGTTTTTGAGTACTTTCAGGGCATGGGGTTGAAGATGCATACCATGTTTTGTAATGATATGTAAATGTGTTGGTAAAATATAGCATTTTTGGCCAAAAATCGAAATGGGCGACGCCCAAAATGGCTGACCTGTGAAAATCAGACATCATTCGACTCGGCATGCTCTGCCGGATGTAATGCGACCAGTTTCATGAGTTTCGGACAAAAGGTTGAGACGTTACAAGCCAAAAAGCAAGTTTTTAGTATCTCCGGACCACTAGGGGGCAGTGCGCCGAAACTCCGCCATTAACCTTAGACCCTAGTTGTCATAACACACACCAAGTTTAGTGTGAATCGGTGAATGCGTTACAGAGATATCGCCTCAAGTCCATTTTCGCAAATTCTACGTTAAATTAGTTCGCAAGTTAAACAAAAACGGTTGGTCTCATCAACTTGAATTCCATAACTTTTGGTTGGCATGGTCTGTAGATCATGTGATTCAATTTTGGTGAAAATCGGAGACACGGCCTAGGACGAGTTCGATCAAATATGTTTTTCGAAAAATTTAAAATAGCGCGAAAAAATTCATGACGGAAAATGACGTCATATGGTGCGTTTGAATCGGACTGAGCCAAGGAGTCAGAGGAAAAAAGAATTTTGATTGTAGCCCATTCGGTTCAAAAGTTATGATGATAAACTTACATGAAAGTTTGGACAAGTAGTGGCGCTAGAGAGTTTGATTTTGAGACTTCATATTTGGTCTGATTAATGTTAATACTGTCCTCTATCATTGTGCCAAATTATATAACTTTCCCGCATACGCCTATATGGGCTGCCATTCAAATCTGGCGGAAGAAACGGAAGAAGAAGGAAGAATAATAATAATAGGAACGCTAACGGATCCAATAGGTGCCTACGCACCTGCGGTGCTTGGCCCCTAATGAAATATCACGTTTAGCAAATATAGCGAGATTAGATCCAGCAGGAGATCCTTGATGAACACTCCGACAAGCACAGCTCTCATCTGGCTAGATATCTGCAGCGCATGCCAGAAAGTGTGTGTGTAGTCACGTGATGTGCGTTTTCAGTGTTTTGGTGTGGACGGAGAGCTGTTCAGAAACACTGGGTGAAACCAATGCTAGTGTGGACGCGGATAGTTTTCATTCTAAAATGCCGTATTAACACTAAAACGCACTAGTTTAAACGGGGCCTTATTCTATTGTTTTCTGTGCTGCTGTGTTCTATTCTTTTTCTTTTTTTTGCTCTGTTCTATTCTATTATGTCGTGTTCTATTCTTTTGTTTCCTTCTATTCTTTGTTCTATTCCATTCTGTTCTATTTTATTCTATTCTTTTCTGTTTGTCTATCCTGCTCTATTGTATTCTATCCTGCTCTATTGTATTCTATTCTGTTCTATTGTATTCTATTCTGTTCTATTGTTTTCCGTTCTACTCTTTTCTGTTCGGTTCTATTCTTCTTTTGTTTTTCTTCTATTCTGTTTTATTGTATTCTATTATTTTCTGTTCGATTCTATGCTTCTCTTTGACAAGACAAACATAGGATTGTAACAATGTTCTATTCTGTACTTACCTGATATATTGTATTCTATGCTTTTGTTTTCTATTGTTTTCTAGTCTATTGTTCTTTTCTTTTCTGTTCTATTCAATTCTGTTCTGTTCTTTTGTTCTGTTCTATTGTATTCTGTTCCATTCTATTCTATCCTGTTCTATTGTATTATATTCTTTTGTTCTGTTCCATTGTACTGTGTTCTATTTTGTTCTACTCGTATTTGATTTATTCTATTCTTTTCTTTTCTGTTTTATTCTATTCTGTTCCATTATTTTGTTTAACTGTATTCTATTTTTTCTTGTCTGTTGTTTTTTTATTCTGTTCTATTGTGTTGTTTTTTGCTCTTTTCTGTTCTTTTTCTTTTACTTTATTCAATTTAGTTTTATTGTATTATGTTTTTTTTTTTTTTTTTGGTTCTCCTATTCGATTGTGTACAATTGCCAACTATCAACATTTTTTTAAGTCATCTGATAAGTTTGTCAAACTAAATAACATTAAATAATTCAAGAAAAAGTCTCCTTCCACAGTAGATTTGAAATCTCTCTCTTATACCTTCATTACACACTACTTTTTAAGTAAATGATGATTTAGTTTTCGTAATATCTAACATTTGACAAAAGTTTAAATGGAAAAATATTTGGTTGTAAAATTGACAGCATAATTCTGTATTTCTTTAATCCCAGAATGAGCTGTAACTGTTTCAACTTGTTTTCACACAACATTAATCCATTTGATTAGATTACAGACTAAAAGTGAGCGTGCACTTATATTTGTAACATTTAGATTGAAATGTGACTGTCATTCATTTGCTCATGTAAATACCTCATTTATCATTAAGTCTAATGTGTGTCTTCTTTCTGTTTCAGGCGAGGCTTGTGAATTTAGAGGATGTCATATGCCTTCCAAGATAATTCTGGGTACCGTGATTGTTGGGTCAAAGATATTGTCGTTATTGAAACTATGTAATGTCATTAACTTTAATTAAGGCACAATCTCTGGGCTAATGTCATAACAAAACGTTCGAGGTTACAGAAGTAACCCTTCGTTCCCCGAGGAGGGGAACGGAAGTGCCATAGAGTGGATGAAATCCAAATCCACGAAATGGAGGAGGATTCGGTTCAGAAGCCGCTTGTCTGAAAGAGTATTGAACGGGCCAATGAATGCAATGAATTGGCAGTGTAAGCTTGCACAGGTGTACTTCATTGCCAATTATCCCAGCATATAAGCACACCTGGAGCGAGCAGACGCCATCCTTTTAAGCTGAAGAGACTTTCAAACAGCTAAGGGACAGTCATTATGGCGACGGAGTATGGCACTTCCGTTCCCCTCCTCGGGGAACGAAGGGTTACTTCTGTAACCTCGAACGTTCCCCTTCGGTTGGGGAACTTCAGTGCCATAGAGTGGATGAAATCCACGAATGGGAGAAGTATGGAAAGCGCCATAATGACTGCACCTTACCAACGCCCCCGATGAGGGGATTGTCAAGCAAGCGTGACGCACCCACATCATGGGAGGCGCGGTCCTCCAACGTGTCCCTGGCCCTAATTTATCCTTTTTTTTTATATTTATATTTAATTGACCCTCTAATCGATATCAACGCGACCAGCAGAGCTGTCTTCAGGGACAGAAAGATAGAGTCGAGGATCGAAGGGATCTGACGCGGCTTGTGTAGCGAGGGCGAGATCCTAAGAGGGCATGAGAGGGGGCGAGGTGAATTAATTCGCTTAGCGCCCCTGAGGAACCGGATGATGAGGTTATGAGAGTGGAGATGGCAGCCACGTTACCTTGAGTGTGGAGGGCGACAGCCTGCTCTCCAGCTTCTCTTGGCGTAAAGAAAGCACAACGCTTATCTGGCAAATTACGGGGGTCTTCTCTGCGAGAGAGACACCATTCAGTGAATAGACTCCACTTCAGGGCATAGGCGCGCTCGGGGAGGGGGCTCTAGCCCGAGTGACGGTATTAGCCACCGCAATCGGAGGTTACCTAAGTCTTCCTCGCGTCTAATGACCACACGTGGAGGTTCCAAAGATCGGCGAGGGTGCCAGATGGTGCCCTGTCCCTGAGAGAGTAGGTGCTCTCTCGAAGGGACTGCCAGGGAAGGGCTATCGCGAGGGAGAGCTCTGACATCCAGGTCCGGTTGAGCCAGAGGGGCCCAACCAGCAACCTGTTCCTCGTCCTCCCTGACCTTGCACAGTAACTGCGCGAGCAGGCTCACTGGGGGAAACGCGTATTTGCGCATGCCCCGAGGCCAGCTGTAAGCCAGTGCATCCGTGCCGAGAGCACTCGGTCAGGGAAAGAACAACTGGCAATGAGCGATCTCGGGGGAAGCAACAGATCGATCTGGGCTTCCCTGAATCGCGCCCATATCATCTGAACAGACTCGGGGTGGAGTCTCCATTCTCCAGGACGTAAGGCTGCCGTGAGAGCGCATCGGCTGCACGGTTGAGCTTGCCTGAAAATCAATGGCGTGCAGCGAATTTCAGCCGCGGATGTCTCCAGAGGAGCAGACGGCGGGCGAGCTGAGACATGCGGCGAGAGCGCATACCCCCCATACGGCTGATATACGCCACCGCCGCCGTACTGTCCGTCCTGACCAGCACGTGTTGCCGCTCCAGCACCGGAAAAAAACGGTGGAGAGCGAGGAACACTGCTAACAGCTCCAGGCGATATGCCAGGGCGCGGCGACACAGCGCAGTAACAGAGACTCGGTGTGCGCGCGCATGCCATGCGCGTCTGTGGACTCGATCGTGAAGCCAGTGTTGAAGTGGCCTCATATAGAGTAATGCGAGTGGCATGAAGCGGCTGCAGATGCCATATGCCCCAGGAGCCTCTGAAATAGTTTCAGTGGGACCACTATTTTACTGTCGAGCTCTCTCAGACAGTACAGCATCAGCTGAGCGCGCTCTCCAGAGAGGCGCGCTGCCATGGTGACCGAGTCCAGCTCCAGCCCGAGAGAAGAGATCCTCTGCACGGTTGCGAGTTTGCTCTTTTCTCGGTTGACCTGAAACCCCAACAGGTGGAAGTGCCGGAGCACTTTGTCTCTGTGCATAATCAACTGCTCCGAGAGAGGGCAAAAATCAGCCAGTCGTCAAGAAATTGAGTATGCAGATGCCCGCGAGCCGAAGGGGCGCTAAGGCACCCTCCGCGGGCTTGGTGAGGACCCACGGAGACAGAGAGAGCCCGAAGGGGAGGGCTTTGTATTGCCAAGCTCGACCATCAACGCAAACCGCAGAAACTGACGGTGGCGAGGAAGAGTGGAGACATGGAAATACGCGTCCATCAGGTCTAATGCTGCAGACCAACCCAGAGGACGAACGCACCGGCTTCTGCGTGAGCATTCTGAACGGCAGCTTGTGCAGACAGCGGTTCAAAACGCGCAGATCTAGGATTGGCCGTGACCCACCGTTCTTTTTGGGCACGATGAAGTGTGGGCTGTAAAACCCGCTCTCCATCTCGGCTGGAGGGAGCAGCTCGATTGCATCCTTCGCCAGGAGGACAGCAATCTCCTCTCGCAAGACAGGGGCGGACAGGGGGCTGACCCTGGTGAATACACACCGTGACTTGGGGGGCCATTTCGCGAACTGAATCGCATAGCCGAGTCTGATTGTGCGTATGAGCCACCGCGAAGAGCTGGCCCGCGCTAACCAGGCAGGCAGAGCTCCCGCTAATGGACTCATCGCTACAATCGCTGACGTACCAGCAGTGGGGCAGCGCGGAGTGGGTGTGCTGATCCGGGAAGCTCGCGGGTCCCACGGAAAAGCTGTAGGTGAGATATTTGCTCTCACTCCGAACCCGAGCTCCGGAGGGGAGGCTCGAGGGGTGGGAGAAAGGAGACCGTCCTCCCAGCGCTCGTGAGCCACTGGCGAAACGCACCGAATCTGCAAGCTAGAAAGCATAGCGTCCCAGACTGGCAGATTTCGGGCTGTCACATCTGGGGAAGTGAAAAGTGCCCTTTCATAATGTTTTCATGGCAGTAAAAAGTGCCGTTGGAAATGGGGCCCCGCCCTCCAGCGGGGAAAGAGCAAGTTCCCTCTTCTCCAGATGGCCTGTCCCAGGGACGCTTCGCGGTCCGTTGACAGACTTAACGGCGTTCTGGGCAGGGGGGCTGCCTGCTTCCGAGGTGCCCGACGCGCTCGCTTCGCCATAGGCGTGTGCGGGGGCGGAGCAGCTCTCGTAGGCGGGCGCCTTCGGCGAGGAGCAGGTATGAATGGCACGGTGGGCGGAGCGGGCTACGGACCGCCGATAAGACATCACCCACCAACTGCTCTCTCACCGCCTTGAATTCCTGGGTGAATTCACAGACGGTGTCGCCGAACATGGCTTGGGATATGGGGAAGTCAAGAAAGCGGACTTTGTCGACTTCGCGCAGCCAGGGGTGGCGCTCCTGGATCACTAATGTGGACATCGTCCTCCCCAACACACAGGCAGCGGACTCAGTAGTCCGAAGAGCTAAGTCGGCGGCGGTGCGAAGCTCGTAAGCCTGGGTTGGACCCACCCTCGTGCAGCTCGGCCAGCGCCTGCGCTAGGTAGCGCTGGTAGGTGGCTATCGCATGCAAGGCGGAAGCAGCCTGGCCCGCAGCTATGTAAGCTCTAGCTCCAAGGGAGGTAGATAACTTACAGGCTTTGGATGGGAGACGAGGCGGACCCCGCCAAGAAGAGGCGCCGTGCGGATTTACCGCCATTGCGCACTCAACCTGAGGAATCACCACACACCCCCTGGCTGTTCCACCGTCAAGAGTGGTTAGGGTGGAGGGACACGCAGCATGAGCAGAAAAAAAGTGCTTTACAAGACCGCGTGAGCCTACTGTGCACCTCCGGGAAGAAGGGAACGCCCCTCTAGTCGGTCCGGCCGCGGAGCTGGGGGATAAACCATCTCCAACCCACGGCCGAAGCAGCCCGGGAAAGCACGGCTAACATGTCCGTTTCAGGATCCGTAGTGACAGCGCTCACCAGCCCGAAGGGGGCGAGCGGGTCTGGATCATCATCGGACAATGAAAGCCCACCCTCCGATGCCGCGGTGGACGTCTGGTCTCCGGTGTCATCGGGCGTAAGGGCTACCATCTGTTAGACGGATCGCTTCCCCCGCCCGAAGCTTGGATGGAGCGATTAGAGGAGCGGGAGGTCCGCGGGCCCGTGGGCGACGGATTATCTCTCGCTGAAACCCTCAGATCTGCCCGAGTGCCCGCTGCAGAGCAGGGGACAACTGGGGTGGTTCGCCCTTTTGCAAAGGCTAGCCGCGATCTTTACTGCGCAACAGTCATGGCATCGCAATGACGACATGAACTGCCCGCGAGCAGCGCATTAACATGCTGGACCCCCCAGACATGCAACGCAGTGCTCATGCCCATCATCCGAGGACAGGAAACCACCGCATCCAGAAACGCACAGTCGGAGCGCCGTCCTGAAAAGGACGTGCTGCACGACTGTGTTGCTCTTTCTGTGAAGTTTGCAACTTTATACGCACCGCTCTGGAGGACCGGACCCAAAGAACGCCAGGCAAGGGAGAAACCCAGCTCGACCGTCTGCCACTGCGTGTACACACTCTGGACCGGGAGAATGCTCTCGTTCGCTCAGAATCGCTGGTCACAGCAGGAGGAACCCTCATCGACTCGATCAGAAAGTCTCTGAAGCGAAAAGGATGGCGTCTGCTCGCTCCAGGTGTGCTTATATGCTGGGATAATTGGCAATGAAGTACACCTGTGCAAGCTTACGCTGCCAATTCATTGCATTCATTGGCCCGTTCAATACTCTTTCAGACAAGCGGCTTCTGAACCGAATCCTCCCATTTCGTGGATTCAATCAATCCACTCTATGGCACTGAAGTTCCCCAACCGAAGGGGAACCTCATTCATCTATAGGCAAATCACCACATAGGCTCAGGACTACTGCGGCAAACCTGTCAACTACCACAATGCGTAGTTACATCAACAAATGCCAGTGAAAACTGTACTGTGCCAAAAGGAAGCCCTATGTTAACAGTGTCCAGAGGCGTTATCGACTTCTTTGGGCTCAGAGGCACCTGGAATGGACCATCACACAGTAGAAATGTGTACTGTGGTCAGATGAATCAGTATTTCTGGTAATTTCTGGGAGAAATGGACACCGTTTGCTGCGTACCAAAAGGATCATCCAGACTGTTACCAGCAAAGTTTAAAAACCAGGGTCTGTGATGGTATGGGTTTGTGTCACGCCCATGCATGTTTTAACAAGACAGTGCAGAACCACATTCTGCACACATTACAAAGTCCTGACTGCGGAGGAAGAGGATACAGGTACTTGACTGGTCTGCCTGCAGTCCCGACCTGTCTCCAATAGAGAATGTGTGGTGCATTTTGAAGCACAAAATGCAACAATGTGGACACTGTACTCTTGCCCACATTATAAATCGCGATGTTCATGTGTAATTAGACACTGAACATTTTAAGTTTACTTGCCTCATTCATGTGTCAAATTCACTTAATTCGCAAATGAAATTTACTTCACTATAGACCTTTTTCATGGCTGCTGCATGGAGGGCGCCATAGCGACCAGCGTTTTCCGGTAGAATGCGAAAAACTTCCGTTTACAGTGTTTTCAACTGGTAATTTGCGCTCCGAAAATGGGTTTCAATAACGTTTTAAATAGATAACAGAGCGTTTTTGTGACACACAACTTAGAAATGTGTGTGTTAAAGCCGTTATAATCTGTCACATGTGGTTCAAGAAATACGAGAAAAACGTTCTCCGACTGTAGTTCACGTGTTTGCCGTCAGAAATAGTGTGTGTGTGCGTTCCCGGCCTGTCAGCTGTTAGCTCAGCGCAGAGAGAGAGAAAACCAGAGTACTGGCATGAAACTTAACAGGTATGAAAGTCGTGCAATTTACAAAAATGAGCATTAAAAGTCTGTTATTGATGCTCTGCTGGCTGATTTGCTGTTCATTCTAATCGCGAGCCGTTTGTGTTTTATTTCGTGTGTTGTTTTTACCACGGTTTGTGTTTTTCTGTCATTTTGAAATGACACTAGCCTATATTTTCGTGTGTGTGTCAAACATTTTGGTGAACTACATTTGTTTGGGCTGGTTATATATTTGAAATAAAGAGAAAATGTTGACTTTAGCGATGACGAGGCTTCATTTAAACTGCAGAAGATGCTGCCTGACAACGAGGGGAAAACGCCTCACAGCAGCTGTTTTCCATCCTATTAGATCGCATTTCTTTAAATGATCAGTCCAGGAGATGCTGCTGATGGACAACAGTATTAGTTCAAAGAGGATAAAAGCAGGTAAAATAGATTAAAACTATCGTTTCAAAGCTGTCCAAATGTGACTGTTTACACGCATCAGCTGCCGACCGGAAGTTCTTCGCATTCACCTAGCGCATACACGCAAAGCATACTGGGTAATTTTGTGTTCCAAGAAAAAGGTCTATAGACATGGATTCATGTCATGAGCTTTTTTTAAATGTGTTGCAAGAGCCAGAATTGCTATATGTGTTTTTTTTTTAAATAAATTGATTATGAGAAACACATTAAATAAATAATGTTTGTTGTATTGTCTGCAATGAAATACAAGTCAAAGTTAGTTTAGAAATCATTACTTTCTTTTTATATTTGTGTTTTCCATACTGTCCCAACATTTTCTAATATGTGGTTGAATGATACAGTAATCAAAGACAACATAGAGATAAAAGAAGAAGAAAAAAGAAGAAAAAAACTCACTCCTGAGCCCCTTCTTCTGTTTTAAAGACTGCAAAAGACAAATATGACACAATTAAATTTAAATATCAGCATTTTTTTGGTTTTAACAAAAACAGAATTCTGATTAACAACTGCTTAAATACCACAATGATGTGTAACTGTTATTTTTACTGCAATATATTACACCATAATATATTATCTTATTGTTTGAAACTTTTAAAGACTTGTGGAAAGACCCTGAGTGTTTTTTTTAACCCTATAAGTCCCCCAAAAAATTCAACTTTTTTGGAAATTAGATGTTTATTAAACCATGTAGCAAATAAACAAATTTTTGCCATATATATATTCTGAGATACACATATCCCTGCTGAAAAATCCAGCTTAAACCAGCCTAGGCTGGTTGGCTGGTTTAAGCTGGATTTTTTAGCAGGGATATTTGATACATCAGGTGTTTAATTTTAATGACAAAAAAAATATTTTGCCCTTGACATTTTGACAACAGAAAACATTTTAGGCAGTTTTTCCCCTTTTTTTTTACCTGTTACCTTTTATCAAATCATATATAACAAGTTTTTAAACAAAGTATTGATCGGGTTGATATTATATCGGTCTTAGAAACCTGTGTTTCAAATATGATACGTGCGGCTCTATAGGGTTAAATACATTTTTTAGAGAAAGTTAAAAAATATTTTATACATTTGTAATTTTGTTGCTAACCATTCGATCTTTGTTAGTTTTTGCATATTAAACATATTGAGTATGGACAAAATTTGTGATATTACATTGTTATTAACGGTATGTTATGTATCTGCCAAGTATAAGCTAATAAAACTGCTATGACAACAAACAAAAATACTAATTATAGATTTAATTTGACATCTGTCTGAATAATGTATCTAGAAATAAAGCAAATATGACTGTGTATTCCCTATATATCAATGAGTGTAAAAGATTCTCTTGCTTAGCACTATACATTTTTATACTACAAATATCAAAGTGTTATACCACATGCATGATACTACTAAATAAAGTATACACATTACTACCTTACAAACTAAACATCAACATGTTTTTGTTACGAGGCTGAATAGATAATTAACATAGTTGTTATTATCGTTAATAATCTCAGTTACTACTCTGTTAGCCACAAGTAAGACTTTGTGTTCGCTTCAGTGTACTGTATTTAATTACTTTAATTAAGATAGCTGTGAGTGAATAAATACTGATTTAAAGAGCTGTTATTAGGAAAACCGCCGGTTTTACCATATCTGGAGGGTCGAGTGTTTGTGGTGAAATCTGTGCGCGTGCCCGTTACCAATGGAAACCAGCGCCGCTTTTCCTCGATGCATCAGCTGATCAGTAATTAATTAATTAAATCTTCATTTCCACTGGAGATCTTCAGTTTCTTTTACTTGTCTTGATGGCGTGGATTTAGACACACATTAAATTCTGAGTGTGTTTTTGTGTTCTGAACAGACCAAAAGAGCTTTAGCGTTGATTCATCTCTTAGTCCGAGTATAGTTGAAGAATCTGTTAGTCCGAGTCAAATACATTAATGTAAAGTGACTCTGTAAATGAGTCCACACGAATACATGAGCTGTTATTGTTTACGAATGAGTATGCTTTCATACGAGCTGTTTATGAATCACTTTGTCCTCCACCGGTTTGAAACCCGTGTGCCTCCTTGACGCGCTTCCTGTTTACAACAGAGCATCGTGGGTAATGTAGTTCAGTGATTTACAGCTTCAGTTTCTGTTCTGAGGTAAGGAATCGTTGTTTTCCCATTTATTTCTTTGTTTTATGTTTGTTTAGTGTAACAAAAGTTGTTTGTTTTGTCTGTATTTTCCTTCCCTGCTGAAAAATCCAGCTTAGACCAGCCTAAGCTGGTTGGCTGGTTTTAGCTGGTCAACCAGGCTGGTTTTAGAGGGGTTTTGGCCACTTCCAGGCTGGCTCCCAGCCATTTCCAGCCTGGTCTTAGCTGGTCAGGCTGGGAGATGACCAGCTAAAACTAGCTTTACCAGCCTAGCCAAGCTGGGAGTCCAGCCAAAACCAGCTATATCCAGCTTATACCAGGCTGGTCAAGCTGGTTTTAGCTGGATTTTGCTGGTCATTTTCCAGACTGACCAGCTAAGACCAGGCTGGAAATGGCTGGAAACCAGCCTGGAAGTGGCCAAAACCCCTCTAAAACCAGCCAACCAGCCTAGGCTGGTTTAAGCTGGATTTTTCAGCAGGGTTTTGTGTATGTATTTGTTTGTGTGTCTGTGGGTGATTGTGCGGGTCTGTTTGTGTACGTATTTGTCTGTGTGTGTCACTGTGTTTATTTGTGTGCTTGTATGAGTCAATATTTTAAACTTTAGTTGATGTGTAATGTAGCTGTGTAAACATAAACAACATCTCTAAGTGTAAGACGCTCAAAATTCAATGCAATAAGTGAGTTACAGAGTTAGCTTAGCAAAGCCTACAGCAAACGAAGTTTGGGGACTACTAAAAAATACATCAGGGTTAGTGAGATCACAAACGCTTCAGGCAGGGCCGGCCTGTAGCATAGGCAAATGCTAAGGGCGCTGTACATCCAGGGGGGCACGCTACATGAGCGCAGTTAAGTTGCTTTTGTTTTCAATATTTCTGACACATTCAGTGATTGACGGCAATTACTCAAAAACCTCTTACCCTAAAAGATCTTAAGCGTGTTTCCTACAAAAAGACAAGGCTGGTTATGTTTCACAGCTGTCTTTTTCTTTTTTTTCCACTCGACATTACGACCACTGCTCCGTTTAAGCCCTCGCAATATGCATTTAGCCGAGAGAGCTCGCGCTGAGTTGTTGCTAGAGCGGATACGTTTGCGGCCGGAAGTTGACGCAAATTATTTCTATTATTTATTAAATTTCTTATTTGTTGTATTTTATTAACGTCTACCCCCACCACAACCCTTAACCCAACCGTCACAGTAATGTAAAAACTGTAGTTGTACCGAGTATTAGTTATGTTATCTATTAAATTACCCAATAAAATGTATTTTTTAACGCCTACCCCAAACCCAACCCTAAATCCAACCATCACAGTACTGTAAAAATATTAATTATTGTTATACAATGTCATAAAAAAATGCTGCTTTATTAATGTGCATATCGCACTTCCGGCCGGACGCATATCCGATCTAAACTTTACCCTCAGTAAGGGACTGTCGAAAAAGTGCTTAATTTTTTCGTTTTTTTTTTTTTTTTTTCGTCCTGCGTGTTTTATTTTAAACACAACAAATTTTCTCTTAAATGAGCACAAACAGTTACTAAAGTAGTAGTTTGCTATGTATTCTATCATTTGAAGCTATTTGTTGTCCCATATTTTTTACATCCCAACGTTGACAGATATGACATAACATTGCTAATCAACAAATAGCTATAGTACTATCTGTTAGTCAGCTAATGTTATGGATGGGCATAGATGTTAAGGAAAATAGTAATAGTAATGGAACTACCCCCATCATTCCTTCCTCAAGCAAATGTGAAAATATTAGATCTATTCAGCAATAATGTTAACTGCATTGGCATATTTATCTGACGTTTTCCCAGCTTGTAGTAGTCGATCAAAAAGCTATTTAGTTTGTTATGACTATACACTAGCAGTGGAATTTACTGCGATGAGACAGGGCGCTACCTGAAATCTTGCCTATGTAACAGAGGCCAGCCAGTGTGTGCTGTGCAGGTAAACCTCACTCCTCTAACCTCAAAAGGTGCTCTAGCGACAGACGCTAGAGGCCATGGTCTTTAGCCTCCTTGGTAGAGCAACTGACTCCCATGCGGAAGGTTGCCGGTTCGATACCAGCTCGGAGCGGGTTGGGTGGCGTAGGATCGGCGGGGTTACACCTAGGGGGCCAAATTGGTTAGGTCCGGGTCTGGCTTCAGGTTATGCAAATTCTCCACGCGCATACACCCTGCGCAGCGAAGGGGTGAGGCCTGAGGTCAGTGTTGCCAGATTGGGCAGTTTTGAATTTTTTTTGCGGGTAGTGTAAAATTGGGTGGTTTTGTAACGGCGTGCCTGCCAGCCCCGGTCTTAATTTTTAAACCTGTTATGATACCCCATAGAGATGCTATTAAAAATAGTCAATTAAAATACCATCAGTTAAATAGACTTTGCCCTTCTTTTAGTTGCTCAAGCGTAAAACAAGGCGAAAAGCCGTTTACTCGCACGTGCACACAGGATCGGCAGGCTAGCGCAGAAGCTCCATTGAATATACTGGGGTAAAATAAACGCTCGTATTATAAAGACATGACAGGGGAAATGTAATTTAATGCAGTGCTTTATGTACAATCTGAGACCCACTTTATATCAGATATCACTCAGCCAGTGGAGATCGCTGAATTTTAAAGAAAACAGACCTTAAATGCACCGTATTTTGCATTGGCCTACAGTTCACCGGAAGCGCTTAACCCAGGTTACTGACAAATTTAAGTCCTTTAGCATATTTCCGCACATACCCTATTCATATTTGTCCGTCAAACCGTTGTGAACACCCAGAATCTTCACAAGCGCTGCATTGTCTCTCTATGTGGCCCCTTTCTGTGCGTTCTACATCACAAATAACAAACTCGCCAAAGCATTTCATATTACTTGTACGTAAAAGACACTTGTCAGATTGTCATCATTGGCTCTCTCTTTCTCTCTCTCTCTCTCTCTCTCTCTCTCTCTCTCTCTGTGTGTGTGCGTGTGCCTGTGCGTGCGTTTGTGCAAGCATGCGTACGTGTGCGTGTGTTTATGTCTATCTATTTGTCTGTTCATAGCTGTGTCTCTAGCCCGAGGTAACACAAGATAACCTGTTACACACCGGCCAACCAGTGGCGTAGCGGCCTTATAGGCTGTTGCCGTCTAGTGGTGACTTAAAGAGGGTGGTGTTCCTTACAATACATTACAGCAGGGGGTGTCCAAACTACGGGCTTTTTATAAATACTAATAGAATCTGGCCCGCTATACAGAAATGAATGTAATTCAATAAATAACCACCGGGTGTCGCTATTACATGCCTTCAATTAGGCAGCAGTTCCCGTTATGAAGTAAAACGAACCGAACAAACTAAAGGAAACATAATTGATAATCACGTTTTGGCAAGCCATGGCACAACCAAGAAAAAGGAAAATCAACAGTGAGTGCAGGAAATTTCAGTCACGTTAGGTCAAACAATATTTCTTCACAGAGGTCAGTGGAATATGTGTCTGTTTAATTTGCCAGGAATCAGTTGCAGTAATAAAGGAATATAATATTAAAAGACATTATGAAAAAAAACATCAGGCCTTCAGCTTTTACACTGGTGGCGAATGATATCAAAAAGTAAAACAATTAGCAGCTGCCCTGTCAGCTCAACAACAGCTGTTTTTTCGTGCTAATAAAGTGCAAGAAAAAATTCTATGCTGGCTAGTTATTATGAGGTGGTTCAACTAATTGCACAGCACAGAAAATTATATGAAATATTATTTGTAATATATATATATATATATATATATATATATATATATATTTTTTTTTTTTTTTTTTTTTTTTTTTCCCCAGAGATGGGTTGCGGCTGAAAGGGCATCCGCTGCGTTAAAAACGTGCTGTATAAGTTGGCGGTTCATTCCGCTGTGGCGACAATGGCCCTTGGCGCAAAAAGTTTGGACACCCCTGCATTACAGTTACTACAGACACATGTTAATATGTGACTGTCAATCAATTTGGTGGGCGGGGAAACCGCACTCCTGTGTCACATTGTAGTCAGCAGCAAAATGCGAGGGATTTAAATGCTATTTTAACGTTAGTAAAAACAATAAATAAAATAAAAACATTTTTAAAAAGAGACTTATGTTTCTATCAGCCCAATATGACAGTGGACACACTATACCTACACACAGCTCTGCGCAAACAGCTCACAAAAGATGATTTTCATCATAGAGGCCCTTTAAGAAAACCAAGCAAGCAAAATATTGGAAAATTTGTAATGAATAAATAAATTGTGTGAATGTTTATTATCGATTCCTCCTAGTTGTTTTTATTTTTTATTTTTCTGTTATTTATTCAGACATAGACTTTTCAAGGTCTACTGTTATAGCCAGGCCCGGATTGGCTAATCGGGAGGACCGGGAGAATTCCCGGTGGGCCGGTCCGTTTTTTTGGCTGCTAGGGCTGGTGTCCCTAGCTCCAGAATCGGTTGCTCTCAGCAGTCACACTTTTTAAAAATAATTTATTTATTTACTTGACCACAGCCTTCTTATTCATTATTTTACCGAAGCTCTGCTCTTTTTATCTATTTTCTCGTAGCCTCGTGAGCTGGATGCAGGTTATTGATGATATAACTAGATAAGTCACCATTCAACGTATAGCTGTTTGTTACAGTGGTTAGTACGTTAGATTATAACGCGGCCAACCTGGGTTCGGTCATTGTCTGAGTAACAATTGTTTTTTTTTTTTTCATGTTTATTGTTAAGACATAATACTGTAAGGGTTGTTGAACATTTGAAGTTCTAAAAGTGCTGTTTTCTCAAAAAAAGATGTGATAGTGTAATTAGAAACTGAATTGGAAATAACCTTATTTTAATATAGTCAGTGGTGAACTGAGGTGGGCCGGTCTGAGGCTTGAAACTCCAGGGCTGAAAAAGAGTCCCACTCCGGCCCTGGTTATAGCAGTTAGAAAATAATAATAAAAAATACACATGAAATTAAATTGCTTTACAGCATAATAAAAGTGTAATTCTGTTAGACATAGCATAACTTTTTTAAATATTTGTTGCATCATAAAAGCCTTTTGAGATTCAAGATGTGGTTTGAATCTCCTGTGCTGCTTTGTTTTCATGTACATATTTAGATTACATTACAACATTTTACATATTCTCAAAAACATTTAAAAATGATCATTTATATATATATATATATATATATATATATATATATATATATATATATATATATATATATATATATATATATATATATATATATATATATATATATATATATATATATATATATATATATATATATATATATATAAAAATATATA